ATCTTTTACAAACACACACGTATACCGTTATGCACCGTTCACAGCATCTTTTACAAACACACACGTATACCGTTATGCACCGTTCACAGCATCTTTTACAAACACACACGTATATCGTTATGCACCGTTCACAGCATCTTTTATAAACACACACACACACACACACACACGTATACCGTTGTGCACCGTTCACAGCATCTTTTACAAACACACACACGTATACCGTTATGCACCGTTCACAGCATATTTTACAAATACACACACCATGGTAGGATGTTTTCTACTTTCAAATTACTGGGACAGGACACCGAGAAGACGAGTACTTGTGTAGTATTGACCACGTGGATATAAAGATTAATACTGAGGTTATTCAATAGTGTAAAAGAGGGTGACCTATTGATAGTAGCACTGTCCATTTCACAATAATTTATTTTGTTCAGAATTTTTGCAAGGCAGATGTGTGAAAAGTAGTCATAGAATAACGACAGTACAAGTTAATGTTTCTCATGTTTATAAAGTCTTTTTTTTTGATAATTAAAATAATTATTCCATATTTACACAAAATACAAAACCTTTGTGTAATAATTAAAAACAGCGATGTGCACTCTTGCTATTTTGGATACCTGACACGACCTCAGCTTGACCAGACTTCTTGAAACAAACATTTTACTTTGAACCACCGAATTGTTCCCGATATCGAGTGTTACACGATCGGTTCAAAGTCGTCCTTTAACTATTATTTCTTTCTCTGCACGCGTAGCACAGTTGTCAAACTTGACCTAGCTGAGCAGCATCCAGGCAACAGTGAACACCAAATCAGCCAGCCAATCAGATACTTGCATACAAGACGCATTCGTTAGAACCCAATCTTTTGAAGGCAGCCACGCAGTGCAGAAAACAATAATATATCTAGAATGTCTTTATCACAACGAGCATGAATACACTTGTTAGCAGACTTTCTACAGATACACTTATTAAAAACGTAATATTTATCTAGTGGCACTACTTTATATGAGAAGATATTAAAACGTTAATAGGGTTTAAACAAAAAACAACGCAAACACTAAAACCTTGGTCATATTTCCTACAGTTACTAAGAGTGCTAAATCAACGAGTTTTTCATACATTACAAACAAACCAAAAAAAAAAAAAAAAACCCAAACCCCCCCCCCCCCCCCCCCCCCATAGATATCTATATATCTCCAGCCCTAACTGCTTAACTAGTGTTTACAACGTTCATTTCTATGTAAACGTCTGGCAAGAGTCCACCCCTCCCACTTCCACTTCTTTGTGTGTGAATGAACAGTGCTAGTTATAAAACACGAATGAAACATTTAATCAATTGATTCTAAACTTGACACTGTTCATCTATGACATAAAGATCGACATTTTTGATTTTTGCTCGAACAAAAACATTTCAACCACTAATATTACTATTGATTTCAGGATAAAATTTAATCACTGTTAACATTAAAAATAGAATAACTGGTTCTCATGAACTTGAACCAGAACCTCCTGAAAGTTTCCATTAAAGAAAGATTCAGTCTGTAACGTAAATATTTGTAATTCTCGAACTAAGTTTATCTGTAACATCGACTTAAAGCTAGCCTGTTACTTTATATTTGGCGTACATTTCTCAAATTAAGATGACAGCTACGTAAATAATCATTTCATTTCCACATACTTACGTTAAGAATCTACCATAAAATATTCCAGTCACTTACCAAAGAATTGGTACTTTCGTAACACGTTGTTGATTTTCTCTAACACGATAGTCAGCACACCAGCAGATGTCTTTTATTTATCACACTAAACTTTCGTACCGCCCTCTAGTGGTAACGGGAAACGTAACCTCTGCATCATACTCGAGGGGCCAGTAAGATCCAACGCGAAAATGGTACAAAAACCGTTTCACGTGATTTGACGTAGCACGAGTCCGAAAGGCTATGGGACAACATTTTTCTCCATGTATACCTCTACCTACAATCGCATACTTAACACCAACATATCGTTTTAAACAATCAACAGAATTATAAAATAACTTTAAACTGGGGGTTGCCATTACTGGACAATTTCTCTCGCTTACTGTCTCTGAAACAAAGAGCAGCGAAGATAGACAGATAAGAGTAAATATTATTATTATTTAGTACGTAGTATAATCTGGGCAATTCCTGGATCTTAATATACAATTGTCAAACTTTTATAATGTGATAAAGTTAATGATAAACGATAATCATAATTCAATCAGATTATTTATTAAGTTTACAACCACTGTCTTCCAAATCGACGTGTTCCTGTTATTATAAATATGTCTCAGTTTATTCGGTACATTACAAGGTATTTATTATTGTTGTAATGACTGATGATGTTTTGTTTTGACTTTGGTAGTAGTTAGGCTGAAGAACGTTTGTTTGTTTTAGTATATTAGCGCAAAGTTACTCAAGGGCTACCTGCGCGTGTCATATCTTGTTTTGAGTTGACAAACTACACGGAATATAGCTAGACAACAACACACGCTACCAACTCGTGGTCTAACACTGTCTGACCAGATAGTGAGATTTGTCATTCAGACTCGTAACAAACTCACGGCCCCAAATTGGGGAACGTTTGTTTTATATTTATGACGGTAACAGGACACGAACACTGGACCTACAGGTCCATATTCCTGTACGCTAATCATTAAGACACGCTGCGTCCTTTGATTAAGAGAGTGAATATACACGGATAAAACCAACTGTGTTATGATTATTTCATATCATTGCTGTGTCTTATTTTAATTATATTTTCCCTATTTATATCACGGATAAAAACCAACTGTGTTATAATTATTTCATATCATTGCTGTGTCTTATTTTAATTATATTTTTTTGCTATTTATATCACGGATAAAAACCAACTGTGTTATAATTATTTCATATCATTGCTGTGTCTTATTTTAATTACATTTTCCCGCTATTTATATCACGGATAAAAACCAACTGTGTTATAATTATTTCATATCATTGCTGTGTCTTATTTTAATTACATTTTCCCTATTTATATCACGGATAAAACCAACTGTGTTATAATTATTTCATATCATTGCTGTGTCTTATTTTAATTATATTTT